AAGAGAGACAACGGAAATGGCATGACCAGAAAAGGTTGCCTTCACCGGAATATGTAACGGTGGAAGATGTGACAAATGGCAGGGCAAAGAAAGCTGACCGCGTGATGCTAAATCGAAAGAACATCCGCACTAAGCGTCCTATGGAGAAGCTGGACCACCGAATGTTTGGGCCCTTCGTGGTCAAACGTAAGGTTGGTAACCGAGCTTATGAACTCCAATTGCCTGCCCGTTGGTCAATCCATCCAGTATTCAATGTCGGACTCTTAGAACCCTATCGAGAGGACCCAAGTGGTAGAAGGACTAAAGAAGTCCCAGTCCCCGAGATAGTAGACAATGAGCCCAGCTACGTTATCGAGGCAGTCGTAGATAGTCGATGGTACGGCAACATGAAAGCGAAATTTCCTAATCGCTTTGTGCAGTACCTGGTTTCATGGGAAGGCTATGGACCAGAGGAAAACTCTTGGGAGCCATATGAGATGCTAGAGGGCACCGGCTTACAAGCCATGAAGGATTTCCATCATCGGTATCCCCACAAACCCAGAGACCATAGGGTTGAAGGCGAACCGAATAGAGGAAATAAGAGAAGACGTTAGCGGACCGGGTCGGTCCTTAGAGAAGAGGGGAGTGATGTAACGACCCTACGTTATAGAGCTATGGCAACCTAAGTCTACGCCCATACATAAGGCCAAGAGGTTATATGGTAGACCAGGAGGGCATGCCTGAGCATGTCCAGGAGATACCCGATGGTCCGGGTATCCCGAAGAACAGAGGGTACTTAAGAAATAGGTGTACCTAAGTAGTGGAAGTAACGTGACCACATCGGTTCCGGCCTAAGGATAGGTCGGAAGGCCGGGTGAGTTTACCCTGTCTAGGTAAGTCACATTACCCTGCCATGGAGACCGACTTCGTGTCACCATGGACATACTTACCCTACCTTTGGGACACTATTACCCTACCTTCCGTCGGAAACGTTCTCGGAAAGATTCCGTGTAATGTTAGGATTGTTTGTTACACAATGCCGATCTACGGGCACTTGCTTGTATATTGATCGGAAGACTACGGGAGGAGCTAAAGTGCTCCGAACATGCTGTAACTTGGCAGGATTATTCCTAACAGGTACCTCCGGCCCCAGGGTTCGCCCCGGGCGTCATGGGCCAAAATGGGTGGAGTTGCCGTTTTGCTAGTTAAATGGAATCTATGAAGACATGTCCATAACACTGTATGCGTCGTCGCCGTCCGTCCGACCGGAAGCTGTTCGCAGGATGTATAAGGGGGCCAAGGTGAGAAGGTCAGGTACCTTCTCCAAAAGGAACGGAGTAAAACGGACCAAAACTGACGGAGTTAGCGTGAGCTATCCGGAAGGGTCCCCAGAGTAGTCCCGGGTAGTGCCGGAGACATCTGGGAAGGTTTTACACCAATCAAGCCTACACGTGCCCCTTTGCCGTAGGCTCTTTGTGGGTTGTTGGGAGACTCTAATAGCATGATACTTATCATGCTGAGTGGTGTGCCGAAGGTAAGGGACCATGGGTAGCGCCCACGGGTCCCGCCACCGACACAGCTCTACCTGGGAGCATCGTAGACCCCGTAAGTTCGCAATCAAGAAAGATAGAACTTAACCGAAGGACACCTGATGTCTACGGGTGCTTGCATAGTTCATAGCACATGGGAAGAGAGTCACTTAGTTAGCTTTCCTAGGAGTCTCGACAGTTAGCCACTGACGAGACACCGATGCGCAGAGGTTTTCACTCCGGCAGGTGTATTGGTAAACACCTCGCAGAAACCAATGTGCATATGGGAGATTTCTGCTAGAGTGCGCTGACACCTTAGGCCCTTCGGGGATGCGGTAATGGTGCCGGCAACCCTTACGGAGAAGGGCATGCTCATGTTGGTCGGGGCGACCTGATGGGGGAGTTTTTGGTATAAGTCTGACTACTTGAAGCTTATACGAGAACTCTCCTGCCCCGACAAAATCAACATCCTCTCAAGAGACTTTAATTGAGATAAGCCAGAGCTTAACGATATTAAGTTTTACCGTTTACTTTTATTCTTTACACTTTTGCAAGAGCTGTGTTCGAGAGATTCGAAGTTTGGTGCGGTCGCATCCTTAGGAACCATCTACCTGAGGGAGCCCCCGTTACAATAGCTTACAATGGTCAGTTGGGTTCCTAAGAGGTGTGGCTTGTTGTAGGCAGTGTAACTGTTCCTGATACAGCTCACACTGGGCAACTTCAGTCACTAGTTGATAGCCCAGTTCTTATAGGATAACTTTAACATATAAAGTGAGCCATTTCGATGAACCTGGTATGGTGGAGCTAACAGGAGGAGGTTATGTAGACTCAGTGAGAAATAGGCAGGCAAGGGTTTCATCAAGCATTTTCTCTGCAGCCATTATTCTCTAGTGAATATCTTTGCTTTTCCTAGAACTGAAAATGAGTTCCGAGTCCATTATGTTGTACTGTGAAACCACTTCGGGTACCATTTTTCGCAACACCATTTGCACACAGAGGGGCCATATCCCACAAGCCTCAAAGGCGTGGCAGATGTTCTGCAGAGTGAATGTTTTCTCTCTTGCCTCAGTAACAAAGTATACAAAGATAGCCTTTTTAATTCAATCACCAGTTTTTCTTCCAGAATGCATATGATTTCCAAGTGCCAATCCATAGAAGTACTGATAGGGAGAGAAGACACCAATATCTAAGGGTTGTCGGAGGTGGGTAGAGTGTGATGAAAGGCAAAGAAGGAGGATGCTGTATTCTACACAAAATTTAACAAAGGCATAAGTGATATGCAAGCCATGCCCATCGATAATAAAAAGACTAGGCTTCTTACCCACAGTAGCTGTCTCAGGCTTAAATATTGTTTCCAGCTAAAGAAGAGCCAACCAGTCATCAATCTACCCTTTAGGAGACTAACTAAACTTATAGTTACTCTCCTTCTCAGTAAGATTGGTATACAAGGCAAGATACTATGCTTTTCCTCAATAAATGATGAGAGGTGAAAGTGATTGTCCCGCAGTACTTACTGTTTCAACTATAGTTACTAGTTCTCATTCTCTGTCATGGGTTACTTGAGGGTTTCATCTTCTATGATGGCAAAGCACCTTTGCTTGGGCTGCCTGGCCCATGAGAAAGTCTTTCTCATCCATATTGAAGATTTGTGGAGCCTTCAAACCATGGTTCTGGACAAGCTTACTCAGCTTACTGAAATATATTCCTTGATAATGTAAGGGTCATTTGCCTGGGCCCGCTGTTGCTCCAGCTGTGCACTGAATTTAATTGGAATGGTAGGATGTTGACTAAGGAACCTCATTATTCAATTCTTGTCTAGGGGTTCAATTCTCCCTCCTACTACTCTTCTCCCTTCAAGATGGAGAGCCATCTCTCTTATATTATCCAGTCTTGCAGGACAGCCCCGATCATCTATGTCAAAATACCATTTGACAATAGCCTTCTCCTGACTTTCCAGTAAGCACTGTTGAGGGATATGAGCTACTTGCTGGCACTTGTAGGTTCCTGCAAGCTGGTAATACAGTGTTGTTTGAGGAACTCTACTAGTATAGATCTCGACAGCAGCAGGGACCCCCCCTTGCAGGCCACCCTGAACAGCTTTTATCGCTTATTGAATTAACTCTTCATGATGGTCATGAGCATGAAGCTTTGTTCCACCCACGGTTCGATTTGTGGCTTGTGGGTTGTTTATTTCACACTACAAGCGGGGTATCTCTATGTTGTCTTGTCTTGTCACAGACACAAAAAGCAAATCCCGCATCTCTGCTACATCCCGGTTCCCCATAGTTGAAGTTACCGAATAATCTCAAATAATTGAACTCCATACTACTATATTTCGTTGGAGTTGTCTCCTCTGGTAGGGTCTAGCTTCTTTTTGTTTCATGTTTCTCGGAGGGACCAAGCAGCTCCTTTTTTGCTACGATTTCCCCCCGATTTCTGGGGTAGGGAATTTTCGACTACATGGCACATAAGTCAATCCTTTAAGATTCTACGGTATTAACTAACGAGTGATAATCTATGATAAGAGCGACACCCTCAAAACTTTTGAGAACCAGGCTAAAAAAAAAAAAATGTCTGATATAAATGAGCAAGAGTAATTTATACCACAGAGGTCAGTTAAGCTATCAATACAACGAAACAACGAAACCAACAAACCACCAGATGCACTTTGCCATCTCGAGCCGAGCTCAGGCAATGCAATTTCCCTCCCTCTCACAACACCCCCACACCTCCCTCCACCCCCTCTGATCACATAATCAAAAAACGTGGAACACCATTACGGCAAACAGCCAGTCTCCCATCCCCATTCAGCTTCTTCTTCATATAGATCGTCACACGGCTGGTCCCCTGTAGAACGGAACCTGTCCGAGCTGCTCCTCCTGACTTTCGCCGAGATCCGCCGTCACTCTGGGCGCTGATTCTCCTCTCTTTGGCACTTGTAGCTGCATTCTTCTGCATCCCCGCATCTGCAGGGCTAATGTTTCCACCAGTACCTCTGGATGTTGCTTTCTTGCCCTTGCCGGTTGTTCTCTCATGTGCCTTTCTGTAGGTGTATCCCATCACTTCCCGGGCGTTGAGACCGATTGACGGGGGGGGGTATCATGGTGGGACGTGCTCCATCGAAAGCCAGGATTATTTTTTTCGGGATGTATTTTTATGGCACCTAGGTCGAGCGGGCTAATTAGTGTTGCTATGGCTGTCCCGTATTTCTCGTCTGCCGGACTACAAGAAGTCGGGTTTGTGGAGAGAAAGAGAACTCAGGAAGTCGGGTTTCGCGAATCTATCCTATCCAGCTGTAACCTTCTTGAACACGGGGGGCACATGAATAACCGGTACGAAGGAACCACCAGAGGTTGACCCACGGAACCCTCAACACCGCCAAGACTCATCAAGATAGCTGAGGAAAAGATAATCCTCTTAGGGTAGATGTCTTCCATAGCAAGCAGTTGCAATGGATTGCTGCCAACTGCTTTCACAGAGAGATTCCGGGTGCTAGTGTCACGTGCCCGCTCCCAGTAATCGCTGCGGTCAAGTGATGAGGTGCGGTACGGTAGCCAACACAGATGGTTGAGAGGGTGTGTTGCCACGGTGGAGATCAGGGACGTTAGCCCACACCAACATAAGCCATGGTGGGCTCCCGTCTCGCTTACTCTAGTAGCGTCCCCCACCAAGATTCGCCGAGTTTGGCTTAGCGGGAGAGAAAAGCCGACAGTTCTCAAACCTTCACCTGGTGTCCTACCAACTACACCACAAAACGGTGTTGCCTAATAAGATACTTGCCTGTACATATACTGTACACCCCGACACCTCGAACGGCCGAGCCCAGCTTAACAGCTATTCCTGTCTCTACCTCTAAGACGACCGTCCATTGGTACACGGGCCCTAATTAAACCACATGCTAGGACGTTGGAGTTGCCTTCGCTGGTAAAGACTAGTAGTTTTTTTCTTTTAGTTTTTTGTCTTTACCGCGGGCGGAGGGGGATGGCTTGAGTGGGGCGCTTGGGCAAGTATACCTTAAACTCCCATGAAGTTTGGGCCCGTTCAAAACCTTGGGAACTAGTGTATTAGCAGGATTATTATATAGAAAACTACCTATTTGAGAAGAGGTGCATTGATAATAATGGAGAAAAACCAGCAGCACTCAGCACGGCCATGATGAATACGAGACCGCCTGCGCACATAGCCCCATGATTTACTCACATGCTCAGGGCTCTATAATTTTCAACCTAGGTGAGTGCCCGAGCATTGGGGATAATTGCCAATTGCATAATTAATGATACTGCTACTGCTATTGGCATTGGACTCGCCTAAGTGCCGTTACCACACAGGTGGGGGCATGCCGCGAAATCAAACGATGGGATAATTGTTGGAAAAGACATGAAATTGCATGTACTGGTGCCTCCGAGCGAGGAATTGGCACCTCTTTTGGAATAGACGCCAATGGGCCAGAGAGTGTTTAGTCTTGAGGCTGCTAGTGTAGCGCGAGCGATTGCGCTCTGCGACTGCCATTCCAGAACCCTCTCCCACTCGTTATCTAGCACTATATTTTGTGTCATAGGGACGGTGTGGTGATAGAAACTTTGAGATGGCTTAAACGCTAAACTTTTTATGGCTCCAAGGGGACTATTCCAAAAGAGGTGCCAATTCTTGGCGGGGAGACATGAGTAATGCGAACAGTATGATAAGCTAACGCAACTCAAGACAGTGGCTAGTTTGTTCCGCTTATAAATTTAACCCCCTGACTCTCTCGCAAGCCAGTTGCTCAACTCGAAGTTCCTACAACTCTCGTCCGAGCTCCTTTAAAAAAACAAAAAAAAACAACGGCCCTCGAACAAACATCATACAATTAGGTGATAATTTCAATTCCACATTCCTAACCTACAAGAATACTGAGTGCTGACTTGCTGACTTTGCATAGACCTAGAAGATACAAACCTATAGCATCATTTAGACCCACCACCAATTCTTGCACGTTTGTCCCATCCATTCGGTAAGGTCCGCTAATTTAGAAGTGCACATATGGGCCAAGGGACTCGCCCGTAATCATATGTGGCAGTTTATTGCAGGGACTTTCACAATGGCTGAGCACTTTGAGTCATCGGAGAAAGCCGTGCTGGAAGTCACCAGGTAACCGAAAACCTAGACACCAGATTCGATCAGCTCCACAAGAAAATAGGTATGATACCAGATTCACTTTTCTTGGCAAAAAAATAGGTGACAATGACAAGAAAACTGATACCAGTATGGGCCATATCGAAGGGACGCTTACTGAGCGTATGGGCCATATCTAAAGTTCGTTACGGGGCCTCCGGGGCCCCGTTCCCCGCCCCGGCCCGCTCACTAGCCCGGGGCAGGGCCTTTTTGGAAGCTGGCCCGGACGGGGGCGGGGGTGAGGGCCGATACAATCCCCCCCCGGGCCTATGTAACAGCAGGGCCCCCAAGGGCAAAACCCACCCCGCCCCGCCCGTAACGAATACTAGCCATATCGAAATGACACTTAGCGAGCGTATGGGACGTATCGAAGGGACACTTAGGGAGCAGGGTTCCGAATAGTCCGACTAGTCAAGTCTTGGAGGCAAGACCAGGCTGGCCAGTCCTAGTGATGTCAATGACTGGACCTGACTAACTTGGGTGGTCCGAGCTGGTCCGGGCTTGGTCCTAGACTAGTCTTCATAAAAGATTGCATTGTCATATAATATCACTCACTTACCGCACAGAAAGAATTTGATACTCGTGAATTTATTTTCACTGCCCCCAATCTAAGTAAGGTATTATCTCTACTCCAATTCTCCCAAGAATATTTAGCATAATCCATGGAAACAAGGAGTTTAATTAAGAAAATTTTTATTTGAATATAATAATATAAGGTATTAAAAATAGTGAAAAGCGGAATCTGGGTTAAAGGGCCGTGCATATTCTATTCTTGGCAGGCTTGGTCGGACCAGTCCTGACCAAGTCAGTTCCGATTATTCTGACCATCCAGTCGGTCTAATTTCCACCATTGGACTAGACCTGACTTTCGACTGGACTAGCTGGTCCAGCCCAGTCTTCCGCGGACTATTCGGAACGCTGTTAGGGAGGTCTGCCAAGATATCAAAAATCTGGGGGGGGGGAGGGTTCTGGTCTGGACTCACAGTCCATGATCCTGGAGACGGCACATCATACCATGAATGCTTCATCTGGTGACAAAAAGCCAATGCGCGCCTGGTTCGAAAAACTCAAGGAATCTCAAGAATCACACTAGAAAGACTGCAGGTCCCCTCCTCGTGGTGAGATTTGATGGCAGGACACGGCGCAGTGGAGGAAGGACAATAGAATCACGGAGTGGATGAAGACCGAAGGTGAGGAGAGAGGAGTCGTTCTTGTCGTCAATCGGAAGGTCCGAGAGAAGACTAAATACAAACAAGAGAGGAAGCCACCACTAACAGGACTGGTTTCCCTAACAACATACAATATAGTCACACAAACTAAGTAGGGACCCACAGCCCTAATACATACACCCATGCTCCCCCATACATCTCATCAGCACTATACAGTCTTCTCCATATCCAGCTAGTGGGATCATACCATCAAGATTTAGGTCAAGTAAGCTGCCTAGTTCTCTCCTATATATACCGCATGACTAATACATGACAATATAGCAGCTTTGTTGGTTTTTTATTGTTGTTTGTCTGTTTGGTCTGAAGGTCGGAAAGTGAGATACGCCAGTCTCACGGTGAAAGGCAGACCCTTATGAGGGCTCATTGTGTCTTACTATTAGCCGATATGTTGAAATGAAACCACGGAGGCAATTCCAACCTCAGTGCAAAGTGACTTAAACCGTGTCCTCAAAACAGTGATCTGGAACTAGTTGACCACAATAGTGAACTATTTAAAAAAAACCCACCGCAAGGAAGCTACAGTATTTCAACGGAGAAGAAAATGTTGGTGAAAGTGAAACAAGTGAAATAATGTACCTAGTGAAAGGCTGACAGGTACCATCAGCGTTCCGAACCGTCCATCCGCCTTGGAGGTATGATAGGACCGGACAGACCGCTAGTGGTGTTCCGTCCGTTTTATGTTCTATTGGCGGGCGAGCGCAGACGGAGGTAGGATGGGACGCCCTATCGGGCGCGGCAGTGCCCGGAGCTTTTCTATTATACTGCAACTGACCTAAAATGTGGACAAGTGATGAAACAAATTCCGAGGCGACCAGAGTTAAATTACCTATGCTGAAGCCTGACCACCGGAGCGCATTTTATCAACCGTCATGCATACCAGTTCAATCCTGTAGTACAGTAGACTTTTATCCGACAGATTTCCCATCAGAAAAATGTGCAAGAATTTTATTATTGTTCTATTGACAGCAGCACAGTACTGTACACACACTATTTTCTGAAGGCAATCATTGCTCGACCTCACCTTCTTGGCGTTTATCCCAGCAGGCCGCACCGAACCCCGCAGTGCTCGTACAGTACGAGTACATGTTTCATCCTCATACAAACTCTTTTTTCAATTCCTCATTTTCATATCTTTTATTTGAAGACAAAAAGCTAGAGAGAACTGTCATCCTCATTTCAGATACTCTCACGCTTTTTTTACTCTGATATTCGTTGCTTTGAAGGACTTATTTCATTGCTGGTTTGAATGTAGTTGGGTGGATCAGGTTTCAAGGTTGAACCATACATCTTTTCCGCCGATACACTCAGACACCTCTAGTTCACGATTTCATCGCGGAGAATCTCCCGAAAGATTCCATCTATTCTGCTGAGGGTCAGCCTCCATAGTACCGGTTCCATGGCTTTGTTGCGACATCAACAATATATTGAAAGCGAAAGATTCTTCCTCTGATATAATTTTCCTCGTCTTCGGCGATCCTTGACAATTCCGACAAGTATTAGTTCCAAGCCTAGCAAACCTTAATCACTAAGCTTTAATATTCCCGAGTGCCAATTCCGAAAACACCCCAAGCGTTCCTGCTTCACTTAGCCCCAGGGGGCCGTACACGCACTTGGTCTTTGCACCTCCGACTCCTCTGGCCTTGATCGATATTCCAAAAACAAACCCCCCATCCACATCCTTCGAACAAGGAGGTCTGCACAGCCGAAAAATATGACCTCCTAAGTGCGACGCACCTCCTCCTCGCCCAAGACTACGCCCTCAACCCCTACTTACCGTCCAGGATGAACAAGTTCTTCACCTCCGCCGATCCATGCCGGGTTCGATCCCAAGTGCAGACATACGGTATCAAGTTTAGTGATGGGCTGGATCATGACCGAGAGGACCCCATGATCGAATGATCATGGAAATTGGTAGGCCCTGACCAAGTGATCGAGCAGTGATCGAGGAAAACAGGACTCTTTTATCCTTCTGAAGCTCATCAATCCTACCGTGCTGCCAGAGTACTTTGATCTTCTAGCCCCTCCATCCTGCATCCCGTATGCTCGCCCGATAGTAGACCTTTTATGTGCTTCCGAATACCAAACTGTAGGATTTTGGTCTATGGTCGAGGGAAACAGTATTAGCTAAGGATAATCATGCAGGCCAAGGATAATAGTGCCGTCTGAGGCCGGATGCGGTGGTACTGGCCGAATGGCAATAGCGTTGGCCAAGGATGGTAGTGCTAGCCGAGGCGTAGAGTGCTTCGTCCATCAGGGTCTCGATTCATCTAGGTGGCATAGTTTGACGTAGTAGCGGTGGTTTGGAACCCGTAGCTTGCAAGGACGCAGAAAGGATGCAGACCTGGGTTTATTGTAGGCGAAGGCTGTTTCATCAAGTGGTATGTGATCGCGATCTTGCGATGATGCGGCGCAGGGGAAAGTATATACACCAAGATGGCCAATTTGTCCAATATTTGCATAGCGACGAAATGGGCCGCCTCCTGTGTCTGTCTCTGTATTTAGGACAGTCTATGCAAGAAAAGAAACATGCTTCCCTTGGGTTTTCCGTAAGAAATTCCGATTTTCTATCATTATCTTCAGCCACAGCGAATCCCGTACTCCAGACTCAGATAATATGCGGCACATCCGTAGAGGTTTAGTGCTAGAGCTTTTGACCTCTACCCACAGTCCCAAATACTTGGCCATTTATAAAGTGTTCGGACGCCGGGCACCCAGACAGGTGCTAATAATGCCAAGGCGTACGAAACCTTTATAGATGGCCAAGTATTGAGTTGAGACCGGGGGACGACGCTACCACACCCATTTTGAGCTCCCCTTCTAAGCTCGGACTTTGGGTTTCTGCTGAAAATTTCCTAAAGCCTGACATTCAACTATGTAAATCTCCGGGCTGAGCCCTCTGCCAATGGGAATTACCGGTATTGAGGTTTTCTCTCCACGGGTAGACAGGAGTGTATCGAAAATTGGAGTTTTGTGTGAGAAACAGGGGGGAATTTTTGTTTAGCTATTGCGCGAGGTTCACGCTGTGCCGAACCTGAAGTCAGTTGCAAGATTTACCCCGGGGAGAAACCATTTTGGATACTAGTGTTTGGTAGTAACTCTGGGAGATATCATGTCGGTGACCCAAAAATTTACCATCGGATCCCATCCACGAAGTTTCACATTGTAGTAAGGGCATTTGATTTTGCCTCCCTTTTTGCTCCCGAAACAGTGTAAAGGCTTGAAAAGAGCAAAAATCGCTGGGAGCCTACGGATACTTTTGCAAAATTTCCTTACAGTTCTTTAACGCGAGCTGCGCATTAGGGGGAGTTTGTTGAGCCACTCCGGTGATTCTAACAGCAACAAACCACCGAGGACAGACTAGTTCGGGGTGAGAGCAGACCAGCATATGGTGAAGCTTTCGTGCGGGAAAAAACCGACGCTATTCACTCTGGGGTCTTTTAGCTTCCTTATCAGAATCCCCACCGCTGTTCACCGTTCTATGATAGCCCAAAGGAAAATAAACTAAGTGTAGATGCTTCCCTTTTTCAAAGGTACACATTAGTTGCACCAAAATTGCCTGAGCGAAATTGAAAGTAGAGAGGGGTTGCAGGAATTTTTTTTCTAGAGCTGTTGATACCCTCCCTACTCGAGTACAGTACAGGTTGAGCCACCACTGCTGTTAGTCCGGCTATGCTGACTTTTCAGGCCAGGTCGTGGCATTAGGAATGAAATCTCCTGAGGAAGGTTTCGTTAGGATTATCGTAGATCGAACTGTTCTTGTTCCGGACAAAGCTTAATATGGGAGCCTAAATCGTTTTGCTAAAATCAATCTCAACTTCTGCTTCAGGGTCTGTTGAAGCGGCTCTCTCGACATTTCGGTCAGCTCTCTCCTTGCCCTCTGCAGGAGTATCCATAAATCTGGCGAATGGCTCGGCAGCAGACAACCGCACTACGAGTGGGGCCGATAAATATATTTGTCACGTGCCTTATCTAAGAACAAATCGCAGCCGATAGGTGCATCGAAACTTTCTTATCAGACTCACGTACGAATATATCTCGGCCGCACTCGTATTTCTTGTAGGATGCGCCTATCTTGAGTCGAGAGTGAGTCTTCTCTTGGTATTCCTAACATAAGAGGGAGTCAACGAACAGGTGCCCGGCGAACAACTGACTGAAGCTGCCCCGGCAAGCTAGCATTTCGTTTGGTCTTTTTATTGAACTCTATGTTCGTTGTCTCTCCCTTCATGTTATTCTGTTAAGCCGTAGGGACTGGTAGACGCCAAGCCAAGCCCGATTTTCAGATACGGTACTGTACCAATACTCTCGAAAGCACCAAGTGCTGTTTCCCCCTCTACCTCTTCCAATATCCGTATCCCCTAACGCCCTCCAACGTGCTAGTACATATGCCCGAGGTCTGGAAAATAATAGGCCGCCCGGGCGGGTCAGGGCACTGGCGTTCTGGTAGCGAGCGAAGGCGTGGGGGGAACTTTCTAGGAAACAGAGGAGGATACGGTTGACGCCATGAAGGCCGGCTTACTTAAGCACTGTTTTTAAGAATGTGCAGAGTTGAGCCGCAAGGCCTAGCGCACTTCTGGAAAGGTGAGGGTCGTTGTCCTGGCAATGAGGATAAGTAGCTCGTGTTTTGATAAAGACTTCCTGACAACCCCACCATTCCGTATTAGGAATATTGTCAACTGCGCACAAGGCTAGGCAACAGTCGCTACTTTTCTTAGGAATTTCATCGACACCCCCAACTGCGGAATCCTTTCAGCATCAGCAAAAAGAGTGTCGAGATTTTTCACAGATAATGTCAACTCTCCCAGTGGTCGAATGTGTCGAATTTGTCGAATCACTACTGCCGATGGTCGAGCAAAAAATCCGGAGTGGCTCAATGCGCTTGCGCCGCGCGTCCGACACGAATATGTTCGCGCCCGCCGTATCGACAGGATGCGAGAATGGCTGCTGCAAACTGATGGATCCCGAAGGTGGTGCGATCACTCACAAAGGGATGGAGGCGACTACCGGTGTTTGCTGCGGCGATCCAGCAGTTGGTAGCGCCCTCTTCGGGCGGAGGGGGTCCTTGGTCAAGACTCCAAGATGGTGATGCCAATGAGCAGCGATGCCCCTTCGCTAGCGATAGATAGGTTATGCGATAATTCCAGAGAGGGAATTATAGCTGTTGCATGTTGCTACGTTGATTCTACAGCCTGGGGAGTTATCTCCGACAAAATCACCCGGCCCACCAAAGAAACGGATTGTCGGTGGATTAGAACGGATCCCGTACGGGCACAGTCGAGTGTTAAGACTACCGAAAGGTCACTGGTGGAAGGGGGCTGCGGGTCCCGAAGTTATGGGGATACTGCAGATTGCCATGTCGTGACAGCTGATTTTTACTTAGGTTGGTGCTCTAGACCGATGTGTGTGGAATGGCAATGACCTGAGATTCTAGATCCGTGGAGACAAATCCTCAAGAAGTCACTAAATACGCTATCATTTCTATCGGGAACGACCCACCCTGGGGAGATTGATAGTCATCTTGTCGGGAAACAGTATACCTTGCTTATATAACCCGGCAGTGATGGTATCGAGAGATAACGCGTTTCGCCTAGAAAACTATCACGTTGGGTAGGCGATCAGGCTCATAGGAGGGATCCTGATTGGGGCGCATCTTTCATCCTACCGTTCCGGGTCAGAAGCCTATCTCAGGCCTACTATTAGCTTTTGGGTATGATACTTTTAAGCCCTGAAAATAGGTCATCACTCAGTCGGGAATTGCTCCTTTGAGTTTCGTAGTTATGGGTCTGCAGCTCCAGCTGCATAGCCTTTGGACTTGCAGAACGAATTGCAAAAAAGCTTATCATGTTAAGTCGATGGTATGTAAATAATGTACATAGCTCGGGTACTTAAAATTAGAACTTTCTTATAAAAAAACTCCGTATCACTATGTTTACTCCATCCAGTTTATGCCTTGACAGAGTAGAAACCCTTCGGGAAACAGGTGACATAATGTCTAAAGAGATGTCGGTACTAAGGGTCAACATACCTGTAGAACTTGCGTTATTCAATATTGTGGTCCCGGTTCTACAGCCATTTGAAGTCGGTTGGTCTATACGATCACATACACGGCCTAATAAGTTAGTTTTTACTAGATGAGCACATTTTATATGGATGAGATTGAGTAAGGCTGGATTTCTAGAGGCGGTGGGTGGTGGTCTGGAGGCCAAAATCACCCGAATAATTGTCGGGAATATTCCCGAAACGTACTATACAAACTGGAATAATCGGACCCCATGCTTTTAAGAGTGGGGTGAGCAGATGGAATGACTTTTGATGTATTCCCTAACTACGAAGCTAAATTTACCTAAATTTGTGTGCAGAGAGATATAATATCATATGTGCACGCCAAGCTTCGCCCAAGGGACTCTCCAAACCCAATACGGCTGCCGTGATCATTAGGGTGGTAACCCGAACCGGGGGGGGGGGCTGTGGTAACAGAGGTAAGGCGTTCAGAATTTCCTCCTTTGGATTAAGGGCAAAAAACAGCGAAAGAACTATCTATCGTCCTACAACCAGAAACGGGAAGAGGAGATGTGCGGCCCACCTTAACGAGCAACGCAACTGCAATGTCCCAGTTTAAGGTCCGATTATTCTAGTTTTTACAGAATTTTGGAAGCACGATGGGAAAATATTTCTTGGATTCATTACTAATAGGCATATTGCAGTTTCGGCAGGTTCCACTGGCCATGGGCACCATTCTTGGGAAACCAGTGCTGTAGTAAGCGGCAGGAGCTCGAGGCAGTGGTTTGGCCGGGATTTGAAGGATCTTTATTGCGCAATCCTAGAAGGTGTTGGGAAACAATGGGCGGTATGGAGTACCTATGGGTCTCCCGTTCGGAGCGGCAATCAAAGCCCGGCGAACCTTCGTACGCCCTAACTTAGCAGTCAGGTTAGGATCTACGAATCCCAGTAATCCATTGCGGAGCCGTTACCGGGGACTTGCCGTCGTCGATGGGGAACTTCAACCGTTCTTTTAGCCCACTTCACCCCCCCAGGACGATTTTTATACCTACCACGACCTATTCAGTGAAACTCACTCGACAGTGGCCTCAAACTACCTAACATGCCTCAACCTCTACATCACTAAGGGACCCTGCCCACACTCTTTGACCTCCCTTAGCCAAACCCCTTACTCAGATATTCTACCTCGCACTGGGGGGAGAGGGGTAGGGGGTCCAGAGAAAAGAAGTGACTACTTGGCCATTTATAAAGTATTCGGACACCTTTGTTTTATTAACACCTGTCAAGGTGCCAAGTGTCCGAATACTTTATAAAGGGCCAAGTACAGGGGACTTGGTGTCACTTGCATTCAGATTGAGGGAAATAAATTTAGGTTACTTTTGGCGGGTATCCTGTCGAGGGCGGTTCGATACCACCGCGATATCCGTATCAACGGTTTACAAAACTGCATTGTGCCTCAATTTCCGGCGTTGTTGGGGAACAGGAGGTAGCAAAGCTGCTATTAGAACATCAGACTGTCATTCCTGGGTGAAGGTGCTGTTGGGGAGGGATGTCAGATCAGAGGCGACAAACGGATGAGGCTGTATGCCTCTACTGTGATCTTCTCGTAATGTGCGTGGGGGGGAGTGGGGTTGTTATTGAAATGGGAACAGGTTGATATTGGTAGGCTAGACAAAACCGGTCAAACACCAACTCTTCTCCACTGTCGAAATTAGATATAGGGGAGCGGTGGGGCTACTGTTTGGAGGAAGTATGAACCTTAGCCTGCCTGGTAAAGGTGACCAGATGTAGTTCTTGTAGACCTCCAGATAAGCGCAGGGAAGTGTGGTGGGGCCACTGTCGGAGGAGGAAATACCAACCCAACTTACCCAATCAAGGCGATTGGATACCGTAATCGTAATATTCTTGGAGGAGGGGCATGAGAGAGGGTGTCACTACCGCATGCCCGCCAATCCGCAAGCCCGGGCACGGCTTAACCCACCGAAGCGTGGTATTTGCTCATGTCCACAGAAAGGGGTATGCGCCGCTGGGTGCCCCCCCCCCCCTGGGGTGTGTGGCAACCCCGTCGGCATAGCTGTTTTTCCTTTCCTTCCGGATTCAGCCTAAAACTCGAGCAAAGGATTCCCTTGGAAGTCACGGTGGCTTATAAACGAAGTTAGGAGCCTACGACCCTCATACCAGTCTGAGCATTTATGACCATCCGCAAATGGTCCAGTGGGGCTTTATGATTCCATCCCTCTGCGGTATCATACATTTCAGCCAGGTGGTCCGGGTGCATTATTCTGGTAGGTATAATACGAACTTTCAGTCTATGTTTTAATTCCTATTTTAGCCCTTCTGAATAAATATACTCGGCTTTGATTTTCCGTGTTCCTGCTTCTCCCAAGGCGCAATGGCAAAATATTGGCTTACCGTAAGCTGAGCTGTATCCGTTTTCCGGGGAGAATCGTGGCTTAGGATTTTCAAGTTGCTTCGATGGCGAAAACCAAAAAATACTTTTTCTAACTTACGGCATTTCTATCCTCATTTCCTTACCCGAGCTCATCGGGGGGCTAACCAACAGGGTTACCTGGCCATAACGAATGGCTATTGTCCCTTGTGTTGGCATCTAGTAGGATCGCCGTACCCTACGGGCAATCGACCATCCGCGGGAGTTAGGGCCTAAGTTAGTGCACAAAATTCGTTACTTTGTGATTTTGTAATTTTGGCGTTTTAGCAAGTGAAGAAAGCTATGTAATACTCAGAATACCCTGACCAATCTTGGGGGTACATTTCTCCTTTCGGAAGAGGCATAAAGAGAGAATAGAAATGACGAACGCCTAGATTTACGCACGCACCGAGAAGAGATGACGGGAAGGAGGCAAAAGAACAAGCCATGTGTTTTGCACGGTATTTTTCCCTACCAGAGTGCTATTGGTAGCCCCGTAACAACCAAAAACTTCAGACCCCCTCACGCCCTATTATTGTGCCATAATTGTCCGTGGACGATAAGTGTTTACTCAATCTATTCCACACAAAGATTTCAGCATGTTGATGTAAATGAAGATATCGTGTGTAGCAACAAGCACAGCAGGGGAGGCGTTGGGTTGACTTTTACTTACACGGGATCAGAATCTTTTGGGCCCTATGACCGGACTAAACTTCTATCTTAATTGGAACTGCCGGACGGCTGCTGGCTCGGGCCTTCTCAGCCTCTGTTCAGCCTCTGCTTCTCCTGCTCTAATGTCTTCTCGGGTGTTTCCATCATAACCGTACGGGGCGGTATTAGAATGGCTGCACGGGGGGTGAGTGTTCGAATAGTCATTGTAAATGATGACCGGGCCGGGCACGGGGATCTCCACAAAGGATCTGGCACGTAAGCCCTCCTCGGCACCAACAGTTCTCAGAGTAGGATTTGCAGGGGTAATGCGGAGAATTTTCTGTGCGGGATTGTAAGACTCATATTCTATACGTACACTATGCTTAAGGAGGGAGAGGTGGGGTGGGTATACTTTGACGAACTGAAATGGCAATAAATAGTACACCCAATGACGGAATCGTGAGCTCCGGAGAGACACAACCCCAACGACGAGGGTGAGCGTAGCCACAAGAAATCCCACTATCGCTAGCGGACTTTCCCCATTGCACCCATCCACCTCATTGTCTCCCGTATAATCACGTTTTTCGAATTCCGAGAATAGAGATTCGATCGGGAAACGTGGGACCGTTAGCATGACGCCCCGGTGTGATGTGAGGCCGAGAAATCCGCTGATTCCGTATGGTACTCCGCGTGTAGAATGTGGCAGGTAAAAAAAAAAGGTTGCCGAAAGTATATAGATTGTGTAAGAGAGTCCGCCCGAGAACGAGGGGGTTGTGAGACCTGTAGAATCAGGAGAGTAATTATGAACTTGTATCTTGCGATATCATATTGGGGAGGGGATTGGAGGGGGGCTCCTAGAGCACGGTACCGGGGGACACCTGTAATTTTTGGGCAACCGCGAGCGGAGGTGAAAGGCTGCCATGTTGTAAGTACCCCCTGCTCGTTCCATAAAAAAATTGCTCCCACACCATGCAAGATATGCTCGACAGCTGAGAGATTTGGGCTTAGCGCGGGATGTACACGAGTCTGGCAGTGCTCAGCCTCCGTAAGAACTTACCGTTCTCAGACCAATTACCGTATTTGGACTCAGAACAGTATTAGGACAGTACCCCGTATTAGGAGATAGTACCGATTGGGATAGAGTACCCTATTAGGATCGCGTACCGGATTAAGACAGGCTACCGTATTAGGATAGGGTGCCAGATCAGGAAATATCTTTGATGGTACTGTAGTACCGTACTAGGGTACTGGTGCCCACGCCACAAACGCCATCTTTGTTACAGCCAATACCAGGGTTGAATGGTTCCGGACCACCAATATCTGCCCTCTCGGCCAACCCGGTCCAATATCTCTAAATTGGAGGTAGCCTCTCTCTGAGAAGTATACTGGAAATTCCTCCGGGAAAGTTGCTTAAACAATGAATTGGAATTGGGATATGGTTTTTGTTTTTACCTGTGGTCATCTAGGAGGTTGTGTTGTGGTGGCTTTATTTAGAGCTAAAGCTGTTGCACATCCTTATTAAAGAGCCCCCTGCAACAGAATTCCGGTAATTAATTTTGAATGAATTGATAAGATAAAAATATGATAGCAATCATTAAATGCTTTTAAGAGGGGTTCTTTCCAAATTTAGGATAGTAATTGTTTTTAAAGTTTTTTTTCTCAAATGTTAGTAATTCTATGTCTATATTTCCTAGGGACTGTGGGTGTAGAACAGGTTTTGGTCGTCTAGCACTATAGCTCTGTGCAATAACTGTCCGTACTATGCCCTCATCTTTGTTAATTACTCTAATTGGCCGTCTAGACGCTAGACCGAAGCGGATGCAGCGGGGGGCGGATGCTAAATCCTTAGGGAAAAATACGGGTTTATGTTCAAATCCCTTTATGTTGAGATTTTTTTAATACTTAATTTTGGTCACAATGCTATGGTCTTGCGCCAACATGATAATTTTATCTTCAAATATTGTTTCTATTGTTGGCTTGAGATCTACGGTTCTGGGGCTACAAGCACTATCGTTGCACAGAGAGGTACGAATCTCACCTGGGAGGAGATACGGCTAAAATCCTTGGGGACTTAAGAAAAGTGGTCCCATGTTTTTCCTGCCATTTTTCATGCAAATTTCGGTAGAACCAGAAGAAAGCACGAAAGGATGAAGTGACGAAGATTCAATCACAATAGGCACTAAGCGCAGCTGTAGTCTGGTAGAAAAATCGGAAAACGGTGATCAGAAAAAGGTTGCTCAATGGGCCCGTGCCATGGAACGCTCCAATCGGAACCCCGGAATCCCCTGAATTCAAATCCGCACCTTCCTATTTTTCTCTACCGCAGGCTGTACATGTGCGAGGGTGGTGAGCTAGGCGGTCGAAGGGGATACTAGCTGAGGGCATATTAGAAGACATAGATTTATCTCCGGACCTATATATAACAGCTCCTGAAACGAAACAAAATTCAATGAGCTCTAAGAAGCATTCCCGAGAAAGCACCATATCCTTCTGGAATCCTCCCTGACCTTAAGCTATTCTGCCCGAGCCCAACCGTCAAAGCCAGTGCCCTTTGCTCAAGGCCAATAGGTATGAAGGGTGAGCCACACAAAACTAAATAGCCGATTGCATAAAGTGAGAACCAACTAGGCCAAGTGTCCCACCCCTGGTGCCCGATTCTAGCCAGTATTGGCAAACCTAGAGACCCGGATCTTGTGCCTGCTCAGAACCGCATGCGCAATAAGGGATCCAACGGATTTCTCCTCTTATATGCTATAGAATTTAGTCATAAAGTAAAAGAAAATATAAAGTGACACATCCGTCCTAAGTGAAGATAAAGGTAGGCCGGTCTCTTTGCCTCAGGAATTCGTGCTGAGGCGTATACGTCTTGGTTCTGCTTCTATCCGGAACCATACGATTGATTACGGGTTTGACCTTTTCAATTGCCTCAGCATACCATCGCCAAGTATGATACAAACAGCAAACTATAGCCTCTCTCCGGTCACCATGTGGCCCCCACATATCTAACACCCCCATCCCCCCTTTTTTTAAAAAGAAAGAAGCCAATGGACGGCGAAGGAGATCCTAAAGAGGATTCTGGAAGTGGATCCCCCGAGTTTTAATTTTTCTACTTTTTTTGACCAACAAAGTCATTATTATTTGTTGTACAGTACGTGTCCTGCTTAAATAACCTAGCAACGAAATGTATGGATCTCAGGTACCGGGAGTGGTATGGTAACTTGTTGGCTTTGTAGCTGCTCTATCGCTTGCAGCCCGATAGCTTCTGTCCTAAGATAATACTATCGTCTCACTGGAAGCCTTCATTCGTGATTGCCTCCAGGTCAGATAAGTTTATATACCCCTTTTTGCGCCATTTTGGGTCTTCTGCTCATCCAAGATGGCGTTCCAGGCCTGCATTTTTGTTGGCGTACGTGGGGGGATCAGGAAAGGGGGGGGAATTGTGCAACGTATCTAGTTAGACCTTTTAGGCTATTAAGCTTCTCTTTTAATGGGACGATAATAAATATTATTATTATGATTAACCCATGGTGTTGTCCGTTTGTAGCAGGACATACCCCTAACCCTGCTTATATAAAGAATTACATCTCGTAAGGCTACTGGTTCACATCATTGCCCCCCCCCCCCATATTGTGCGCAGAAGACAGGGCGCAGGGGTTCCGCAGAGGAAATCTTGGCCTCATAACACACGTATGCAGTAGGCTTATTTTGGCCGATTTTACTGTTAGGGGCGGTGCGGGGGTGCGGGGGGTAGTCAAGGGAGACATAACCCAAGAAAACCTAACCCAGGGAGTGCAAGCAAAAAGACCCGGAAACAAAATGATAATCCGAGGCGGGGATAGCAAGAGTAGAGAAAAAGTGTTTGCAACTGCTGTGTGAGGGGGGATAAGCAGACGGGTGCGAAGACCCTAAATAAAGGCATACATCCGGAGCCATATAGTACGTCGGGGGCTACAACCTTTCAGGACTTGAGTAGATTCACTACTCTATTACGCACATTCCCGGTCGCTAGGGGGGAGCAGTTTTTGGTCGAATGATACGAAGTTTCTGGGTGATCTTGATTGACGTCTGCCCGCCCCAGCCTCCGTTTGCCCATTCCATCATCCTCATTCTCGGCAGCCCACGAGAGTGGTGCTGGGCTAAAGTTTCCTGTCATACCGAGGCCGAAAACTTCCTTTCCTAACTAGAGTTTCACAGCTCCATCACCCCCATTCCTGCCAACTGGGGAGAGTATACAATCTACTCTTGACTTCCCAACCTAGTTCAAACTTCTTGCCGTTTACCTGCCGCGCTTTTTTCCCTAATCGGCCCCGCTACGGACCCCGCGCCCGGTCCATAAATTTGGGCAGATTGACATGTGGACGGGGGCGTAGCAATACGGTGTACGTTTCTCTATGGTGGATGATATTGCATGGATTCATCTCTCGCCTTGATCCCAGCCGGTTACATCACCAACAATCACTCTGCATCCCACTTCGATTTCGAATGAATCCTTGACCTAGAGCGCCCGCCCCCCCGATCCCGACGTATCGTACTGCACTTGCATGATACGCAGAGCATATTTAACATACCCTATATCTTCATCTGGGCACACTCCTCAACTATCACCCCCCCACCCCTTCGCCCTACTATCGAAGTAAATTTTAACGCAACTATCTTACAATACGTAGTGCGGGTATTACGAAATATCCCTGTTCTACGGTGCTTGTCCCTAGCTAGGATGAGATGATATCTAGTAGACGTGCAGTGCTGCATGGGGCTATGTCAAGGTGAGACAGACTCGTGCTTTGCAGTCCAATGACTCCAAGGCCTGATGGGCTCAGGGTATTCCTGGGAGGGGTAGGGCGCCTGCCATCTTTCGGCATACAGGATACCGTGCGGTCGGTTGGTAAGTACCCTGCCAACGAGTAGAGGTTTTCCTCGCGTGCGAACTGGTATCTTCAGATGCTACTAGATATTTTAAAATACCCACACATATTTTCGGGTGCTTACTAAAATTTTCTGTACAAGACTTAGACGGAATATCCTGAGATATCTACCGGCAATTCGGGTCTGGAAATACGAACAGAATTCAAAAGCATTCCGGTATGTTCAAGGTATCGAGAATGGTTTTGTTTGAGACTGCTGGGGTGTTTTCAATTACCGGGTATAATTATGGGCACAAATCACTCACTTGTCCGCGATTCCGCGATTGTTATTTGATTGTCAAGCCTCTTTCTCCCACCACATGGAGATAAGATCCCTGGTACTCTACCTTACGGCCTCTCCACCACATAGCTCCCCTAGCGCCCTCTACCCGGGGATTGAAGTTGGGGAATCGCGGTAAGCGAGACCACCTACAATGGCCTAATTATAGTTAAGGGCCGGTCTCCGCTTGTGGGCTACGGTCTAGTAGATTTGGTTAAGGCCCAGTTTCTCTTTCGAGAGAAATAGCATTTTTCCGACTTGTATGGAAACGTTTTTCTCTTGATAAAAAATAAAAATAAAAATGAAAATAAAGGGATGCGTGGCCAGCACTCGCGTTAATATAACATCTCCCATGTGGAGCCCCGTATTTTTTGTCTTTGGTTTTTCAGGTTGTAGCAAATTTAACGTTAATTATACATTTATTCTGGAGCCGATAAGAGTATAATATGACATACACCCCCCGAGCCCACCCAGACTACAGTGCATGCTCCAAAACAACATGGTAGGTCCTCTTTGTCTAAGAAAAAACACTCTATCTCTTGAATACTACTTACCCCCCCCTGCCAGCGGCACACTTTGCCGGGTTATCCTAATAACACATGCCAGTGGCCTCCTCGGCAGTGTCAATAACTCAATCGCCAGGCCCCTTTCCAAGGCATAAGTGCGCAGGT